AGCCTCTTCTCCTACTACTGCCTTCATAGCGGCAGCATCTCTACCAATGGCATACTTAGCATACTATTAAGTTGAAATTTTGATTTAATAAAGGTAAATAACCCACAAAAAAAAAAAAAATGAAGATAACGTAACTTTAAGCACTTACAAGCTGGTTAGAAACGTCACCATGATCCTTTCTTGTCATACCTTCGCCAATTGCAGATTTCATCAATCGAGAAAGAGATGGCAAAACATTAATTGGTGGATAAATTTGACGATTATGTAATTGACGGTCAATGAAGATTTGACCCTCTGTAATATATCCTGTCAGATCAGGAATAGGATGGGTAATATCTTACAAGAAAAAGTAGATTAAATACCGTTAAATCAAATTTTAAATCATTGCTAATAATAATAATAATAAATAATAATAATACCATCGTTCGGCATTGTTAAAATTGGGATCTGCGTGATACTACCGTTTCTTCCTACAACACGACCTGCACGTTCATATATAGTAGATAAATCAGTATACATATATCCAGGATATCCACGACGACCAGGTACTTCTTCACGTGCGGCGGAAACCTAAAAATTTATAATTTTTAAACAAGAAGTCATCCAAAAAGTAAAACTTGAATGCATTATTACCTCACGTAAAGCATCTGCGTATGAACTCATATCAGTTAAAATGACCAAAACGTGCTTCTCGAGTTGATACGCATAATATTCGGCAGTAGTAAGAGCCAACCGTGGAGTAATAATACGTTCAATGCTAAAAATAATATGTACTAATTACAAAAAGATAAAACGAATATAACCAAATCTCATTCCTTTTAAAACTTACGTGGGATCATTAGCCAGGTTCAAGAATAATGTGACACGCTCTATAGAGCCATTCTCTTCAAAATCTTGTTTAAAGAAACGAGCTGTTTCCATATTCACACCCATAGCCGCAAATACAATAGAGAAATTGTCTTCATGATCATCAAACACACCCTTGTCGACTTTTTTAACGAGACCAGCTTGGCGGCATATTTGCGCAGCGATCTAATAAAACGTATTTAACAGGTGAGTTCTTTAAAGTAAAAACCGAACATTATAAAACAACATTACCTCATTATGCGGTAGTCCAGCAGCAGAGAAGATTGGAATTTTTTGACCACGCGCTATAGAATTCATTGTATCTATGGCTGATATACCAGTTTGAATCATTTCTTCCGGATAGATACGTGAAATTGGATTTATTGGAGACCCTAAAAAATACTTAAAAATTTAATATTTAACAAAATTTGAAGCTTGCAATCACACATAGTTAATATGACACTAACCATTGATATCTAAAAAATCTTCTGCGAATACTTTTGGACCTTTATCAATAGCTTTCCCGGATCCATTAAAAATACGACCTAACATGTCTTCCGATACGGGAATCTTTAGGGTATCACCAGTAAATTCGACATGAGTTGCTTTGGAATCAACACCTGATGTGCCTTCAAACACCTTAAAAGGAAAATTATATAAAATTAAAAGAATAATCTTTACAAAAACATATTCATTTTTTAATCAAATGATCATAAATACCTGAACAATCGCTCTCTTGCCTTGAATTTCCAAAATCTGACCAGCACGACAACTGCCATCAGGTAATGTCAAGTTTACAATCTCTGCATATTTAGGAAACTTTTATGATCGACAAACAAACATATAATTGTTAACTTAAATGTACTTTACACAAAAAAATCTCGGTGGGTTATAAGATTACCTTAACATGGTCTAAAATTACGAGCGGCCAATTTACGCTAGCTACAGTTCGATAATCTGTGATCGTATGTCAATTGTGGTAAGCAGTGTCAGTTACTTTAAAGCAGTGATATGCAAATAAAACAAAAATGGTCAAAATGCTGAGGGCAAATATTTTCTTTAAAAAAGAATTAAATCTTTTGAACGAGTTAAGACAAAATGCTTTAATATACTGCATATTTAGTACCCAAGATCAGGTGCTTTGTAGGAAAAATAAGAAAAAAAAAATACCAATTCTCGGTGTGACGGTATAGTTTCTCGTAGCGGCTGCTGCATTAACTTTAAAAACTTCCATTATTTCGCCAGCAATAATAGAGTGGTGTTTAGCGGACTCCTATTACGCTTCTTACGTATAAGATCAGATCAGATGATAATCAGTGGACACAGTCATTCATGCCTTAAAAAGTTAATATTCTTTATTAGATATCTTACATACACTACATGTATTTTTTTTACGTAATACTGTAATATGTAAAGTTCCGACATTATCGTTACAAAAATTTGGCCAGTATTAATTTAGTAGCTCCGCATTAACGTTAGAACGATAATTATCATGTGTTCGAAGTTACCAAAACTTACCGTTACACAAATTATGCGCTTTTTTACCACAAACTAGTTCCCGACAAATAAATTTGACTAACTTCAAAATGCTAATCCTTGTTTATAAAAAAAACAATAAACAAAAAATCTTATTAAAACCATGCAAGCTAAACATCTTAAATTTATTTTTAATTAAATAGTAAAGAATTGAAGTTAAGACAATTTTATAATTAAACAAGCAATTGGGCCGCTTAAAATATAGATAATCGCCACCAATTATGGAACGTGACAACAATTTATTAATTAACTTATATAAATAGTATACGTATATTCATCACATTATATAATTTGTCATACCCCAATAGCAAACAAGTTTTAATCGCTTGTTGTTAATACTATATTATATACGGGTCCGTATTATTTCACCGACAATCACTTCATCGACAGCTCATTTAGCCGACATCACGCCAGGTGAAATTTAGTAAAAATATATACCTGCAACTAATCA